TAGGTCACGCTTCTCGTTAGCTGTGAGCTCAGCTACCTCAACCATGGCCTGGAGCGTTTGACCAGCGTTATCCTCCTTTCTTTCCGTTCCCGAAAAGGGGAAATCAAGTGGTGGCTCTTCGGGCACGTTTACCGCCATGTTTACGACAACCTCTCTCTCTCGATACGGTTTGAGCAGATTGCTGTGGTAGATCTGCTGCGTCTTACGTCTACCTGGCATCCTTACCAGATAGTTTGTGTCGGACAGCCTTTGAACGACTTCCGCCGGACCTTCCCATTGGACATCTAGCTTATTCATTGGTGAAGGTTTCAGCCGCATTACTTGATCTCCAGCTTCAAACCAGCGTGATCTTGCCGACCTGTCGTAGTAGCGTTTGGCCCGAGCCTGTGCCTTGCTCATCTCATGCCCTGCCAGCTCCTGTGCTCTATGCAACCTTTCTAGCAGAGTTAGCACATATTCAACCACCGTAGGGTCCTCCGCTCGCCCTTCCCATGACTCCCGAAGAATACGGAGTGGGGATCGCAGAGAGCGACCGTAGACCAATTCTGCCGGGGTAAATCCAGTGGCTTCATGAGGTGCAGTCCTGAGCGCAAACATGGTTGCTGGCAAGCACACATCCCAGTCAACTTTGCGCTCGAAACAGAGTGCTCGAAGGACGCGTTTCATTACCGAGTGTAACTTTTCTACTGGGTTTGACTGGGGGTGATACACAGAGCTGTGGATTAATCAGATTCCACATTTCTCTAAGAAAGTTGTAGTCAGTGCACTCGTAAAAACGGTCCCTTGATCGGACTGTATTTCAGTGGGAAAACCAACGCGTGCGAAAATAGACAACAGCGCGTTTACCACTTCTACCGAGCTCAGTTCCTTTAAAGGCACTGCCTCTGGAAACTTGGTCGTGGGACAAATTACTGTTAAGACATGACGGTAACCGGATGTTGTTGGAAGAGGCCCTACTGTGTCGATCACGAGTCGTCGAAAAGGCTCAGTGATCACTGGCACGAGCTTCATTGGGGCACAAACCTTATCCCCTGGTTTTCCTACACGCTGACAGGTGTCGCAGGTTCTGACAAAATTCTCTATTTTCCGGAAACAACCCGGCCAATAGTATTCGTGCAGCAGGCGATCCTTCGTTTTTTTGACCCCCAAGTGACCCGACCATGAGCTACCTTGAGCTAAGTGTAAAAGATCACGGCGGTAACGTTCTGGTACCACTAACTGATCAAACTGCACCCGTCTGCGATCTAGATACTTACGATAAAGTATCCCGGCCCTGTTTTGATACATCACGTTTTTCTTTGAAATACCCTCATTACTCTGACTCCTTATATTTTGAAGAGTGGGGTCTGCTCTTTGCTGCGCTATAAGGGACGATCGATCCACTCCCAGCAAAGTCTGCAGGCTACTAGATGCAGAAGTAATCATTTCCTCACACACACTTCCAGATTCAAGAGGGTCTTCCTCGTTTTCATCCGCGCCTTCATCGCTCACTTGATCAGTGCTTGGTATGATCGTGTCTACCGTGTTCGTGGGCTCTCCATCTCCAGCTTTCTCGGCAATTCTCGAGGGAACATCGAGGGGTGCGGCTCTGGTTGCGAGTTCTCGCCCCTTTGAGCGAGTGAGCGCGCACACAACCCCATCCCCGTACGCTAGGTTCTTCTGTCCTAGTAACCAATCGGATCTGTTTGAAAACAAGTATGCATACTGCTTTGGCAAATAAGCAGATACTGCAGCCTCTGTGTGCAATGCGCCAAAGGGGCCCTCGATGCATACCTTAGCAATCGGAAGGCATACGCTTGATGGTTCCGCTGCTTGTTTAATCCAAGCGCACTCTCCTGTGAAATGTTCAGCTTCAACATACGAGGGATGGACCACGTCCATTGTCGCTGCCGAATCCCGCAGCACGCGACACTCTTTTTCATTTACTCTCAGCTCTCTGATATATGGCTCCAGCAGTCGCATGTTATCACCCTCACTGTCGACTGAGAAGCAAACAACTTTTGGACTCTTGCAGATGGCCGCAATGTGACCTGGCTTGTGGCATTTGTAGCACACAAGTGGTCGCCTCTTTTCAAACGCACTGTTTTGGTGCCTTTCCTCAACTGTGGTCTCGTTACTTACCTCCCGTTGCTTTTCGGGATCAGTGTTGCGCTCTCGATTCTCTTGGACTGAATGTCCCCTCCACCCGGTTGCCTTTTTGATCTGGCCCTCCCGCTGAGGAATTTCTCTTCTATCAAGCGCGCGGCGCGAAACAAAATCCTCCGCTAGCTCCGCGGCCCTCGACACAGTGGTTACCTCCTCCCTGTCTTGCACCCAGAGCCTAACGTCTTGGGGCAAACGACGGTAAAACTGCTCAAGCCCGAAACACTCCACGATTTTCTCTTTATGCTCGAACGCCTTAGCCTCTTTGAGCCACTCCCTCATATTAGACATTAATTTGTATGCGAAATCAGCATACGACTCGTCTTTCTGCTTTACGGCGTTCCAGAACTTCTGCCTGAATGCTTCTGCTGACAATCTATATTTCTTTAGCAGGCTCAACTTAACTTGGTCGTAATCATCTGCTTCCTCTTTTGTCAAGCGGGCAATTACCTCGGCAGCCTCACAGGGTAGTAGGGTAAGCAAGCACTGTGCAGCCACATCGTTTTGGTAACACGCGACTTCTCGCATGTGCGCTCGAAATTTACCAAGAACAGACCCATGTCCTCTCCGGAGCGGTAAGGTTGCATTAGGTCTTTCATCCTGAACGACTTCCGTTCTACTCCGCTAGACGCTTCGCTACCTTCACTACTACCTCGAGCCTTGAGCAGCTCGATTTCAAGGCGCTTCATCTCAAGATGCCTTTCTTCTGCTTCGCGTATGAGCTTCTCATTTCTTTCTTCAGCTTTGCGCCTTTCATGTTCGTCTATCAGCTCTAGACACTCTGAGAGCTCGTCGTCGTCTGCGTTAAGGTTCTCAATAGCCTCGATAATCTCTGGCTTTCTCATTTGTTCACGAACATCCAAACCCAAACTTTTAGCTAACTCTAGCAAAAGCGGTTTTTTCAGTGCCTTCAGATTCATGGTTGCTACAAGTGCTGCTAACTTTTAGCTAACTCTAGCAAAAGCGGTTTTTTCAGTGCCTTCAGATTCATGGTTGCTACAAGTGCTGCTAACTTCACTACTACTAGGACGCTACGTTCCCATGCACAGGTCAACGTAGAGTAGTTATCCAAATTTACCACCTTTCCTACAAAACTCTAGATAAAGCCTGGTAAAATCTCAGCGAAGAAAAGTCAAGCACTCACCGCACCCTGCAGCCATGATCTCAGTGGAGACGATCCCGATGCTGGCCCGAGCTTGTTGCGACTTGGCGTGAGCAGAATCCCGTCGCTGCCATCCAGTTGTTACGAGCCGCATCGGTGGCCGCAGCGGACCCCGTAGGTAGCATGGAGCTGGGTGGTGGTCGTCATTCCGCAGGCCACGGGGACGTTCAGAACTCTAGAGAGCTGAGGCAGAGGGACAGGCGTAAAGGAAAACTTAACAAGACGTTTATTTGCAACATGTTGGACAGTAACGTCCGAACGACGACTCTTCTCGCGACACTCTCCTGTTTTCTTCTGCCGGGCTGCTCCCGCTGCCTCGCTGGGCAGTTCCGAAGATAGGGTTGGAAATGACACTTCGGGGAACCAACCACTCATAGAGAGCACAACACAAGTATCCCTTCACACACGTGGCAGATGAAACGTGGCACACGTGCGGGGACTAGGAAGCGACCACGCAGGAGAAATTCATGGCAGTCGCTCCTGTAGCACACAACCTGCCTTCCGCACATTCCAGAGGGGCCCGCCCGTAGCCACTGCCCCGCAGGCGAAGCGCACAGCCGGGACAAATACAGCCGGTGCAGGTGACAACCCGCACCCCACAAAAGAATGTCCGAGATGACAGGAAGGCACGCTTGGGGGCAGCCGGCCCAAGGACTTCGTTACTGCTTTGTAACACATAGTAAAGGGTGAGTCTCAAAGTAAAGTTGTTTTGGCACTTAAAATCTTATAATTATGATATTAATTAGAACTAATAGACAATGATGCCAAGGAAAGCATAAGGGATGTTAATTAGTAGCAATTGTAATGTAAATATGAAAAAAAAGTGTACGAAAAGAGAATTTGCTGCTGACAAAGGCCGTACCTGCAATCTCTGAAAAGTGCGTCCAATGCTCTACGAACAAGAGCTGCAGCGACGTTTATCATCCCGTCCACTTTTACCTTTGTTACATGGGAACATTAACCTCAGTCACAACGAACTTCAGTTTATATTTTTAATCATGAGACTTGCTTTTCGCGAAGTTGTCTTTAGTTGTGGTCATAAAGTGAGTCTCGTGACACCCAGTTTCGTGAATAAAAATATAAACTTCAAGTGAAGTTCATTGTAACTGAGGTTAGTGTTCCTGTGTAACAAAGATATTTATGGCGTGCATTTAAACTAGCACATAAGCTATTACTTAATGTACAGTGCCTGTGTTCGATTACTGATTGTTTAAAGGTCGTTATGTCTGGCAAGTGCATAATGTATGGCTGGGAGAGAACCATTCTGCAGGAAGTAAGAAAAATTGGGAGTGTGTGCAGATGCTGCAAGCTGTTGTGGATAGCGATGTCCAAGTTTCATGACAAGGAGATGTCAAAACTGAATGTCAAGGGCATGTGGGAACATCTGTGATGCCTCCAGTGACTCTTGTGTAAGCGACATGTGGCAGTGAAAGCAGGCTGAATGTATCCAATGATTTCTTTGCTGTTTAGCCACATGTATATAGTATATGTAATTCAGAAAGGAAAACATTACATATTTTTATAACTGTGACCTAACCATGTTGCCTTTATCAAATGTGAAAATTGACCATCGTCGTTGGCATCCCATGGTGTGAACGATGACCGATGCAAGAATCATAACATGATTACACCAGCATATGAAGCCACAGGACCTTGAGGTCTTTCAAAGCTTTTCTGATAAGCACAGGCGCCATGCTAAGCACTCACAAATCTGTAAACAAAGTTTATTTTTTTTATTTGTCATATCATCTCACTATGAAATCTGCTGTCCTTAGAAAACGTGCCACGTCACAGGGTCTGTCCTGCTCTTAAGGTACTTAACAAATCTGTTGTTGAATGCACTTGGTCCACACAAAAGCACATGAGGTATAGAGCGTTTTGTTAGCTCCGCTTCAAGAAGCTCTTCATCGATTTCTCCACAGTGAACTTCATCTCCATACTTTATATCTTGAACCTTTGCTTCCTGCATGAAGATGAGACAGTGATGTACTGTTGGCTAGAAGCAAGCAAGACATAGAATGTCTCGCAATAATACCTTGAGGGAAATCTGGCACCACTTTATATGAGAATTTGTTAAGGAGCACTGTTGCTGCCACGGTAATATGTCTGCGAGGCTTGTGTTGGCTGGTGTTGAGCAAGGCTTCAGCTAATAAGAGAATATGACTGTGCAAATGAAGGTTTCATAAAATAAAGCTTTTATAGACAGATCTCGTTCACAAGCATTATATTCTAGAATAAAAGTCCACTCACCTTTACGGCCTAACCAAATGGTGAAAGAAACTGACAGACAGACAGACAGTGGCAGAGTGAATGCTGGCCTTGTCATCTGGCCACCAAGTTTAGCGGCCGTTCGTTACTTTTTACACTTGGTAAAATTGTACATTGATGCAGAAGCTCTCAAAGTTAAATATAACTAGTTTCCCTGTGATGACAAAAGAGAAATAGCGTATTGCATGCTCCTTCAGTGAGAAATTAATTGTGATGCAAGGGACAAGTAGAAGCCAGGCACAACTTTGAGGTGTCCGAGCTGTTCGTGAACGATGCTAGTTGAAGTAAGGTCTGAATCTCACACATCTCAGCATTACCACATGTGCAAAGCTCTCAGCGCCAGTTCTCCTTCTAGATCAGCATAAAGAACTCTATGAAGCAAGCTCTCTCAAAGCATCAAGAAATGACAACCAATGAAAGTAACTGCCTCAGTAGATAACACAGAATTTGTTTGAACTATCATAGCTGACGACCAAGAAGAGACCCTGACAAAAGGAATTGCAATTGTAAACTGCAATTCCTTTGCAATTTACTAGAGAATTTTAAATGAGGCAGCACCAATACGGCTCTAATAAGGTAGGACCGAAATACATGCATAACACTGCCCTTTAGTGGCAGTGTGCACAGTTGTACACATCAACTTCGTGCGTCATACGCCATGTATTGCATAGCTCTTGGGCCAATGTTGTGAACAATGCGAGACGACGACGAAGCTTCCAGAAAGCAAGCCACAACGTTGGTGGTAGACACGTGATCCTATCTTATGCTTGCTTGCATTTCGGCCTCCTGACGTTCGTCGACCTTCCAGTATGTTTAAAGGTGAATAAATTATGTGACGCTTCAAATGGCTTCATCATCTAAATAGACAAGACACAATTGTCACTTGAGACCAGGCAAAACTGTGTCCATCATTCGTTGAAAAGTCGCGGGAGCAGAGCACAGTCCAAAAAGAACCACCTTGGATTCGAAGAGCCCGTGAGGAGTAATTAAGGCGGTCTTTTCCCGTTCACGCTTATCGACCTCAATTTGCCAATAACCACTGCGTAGATACATGGATGAAAAATATCAGGTGTTTCTAAGGCGGTCGAGTGAGTCGTGGATGCGAGGAAGCGGATAAACATGTTTCTTTGTCAGGGTGTTCAAATCGTGATAATCAACACAGAAACGCAATGTGCTGTCTTTCTTTTTCATCAACACAACTGGTGATGCCCATGGGCTTGTAGATGGCTGAATGATGTCGTCAGCAAGCATTTGTTGCACATGGTCGTGGATGGCGTCTTGTTCTCTGCAGGAAACTCGATAGGCATGTTGTCAAATAGGCCTTTCGTTGGGCTCTGTTATGATTCTGTGCTTTGCGACGGGTGTCTGTTTGATTTTGAATGTCGTGGAAAAGCAATCACTGAAAGAAAGCAGGAGGGAGTGAAGATTCTTTTGCTGTGAAGTCGACAGTGCCCAGTTCACATCAAGCTTAACCGGAGACTGTTTGTCGTCATAAGGACCAAAAGAGAGTTGCGCAAGTGATCAGCTGGCTTTCGAGTCTCCGATTTCTTTGAAGTAAGCAATGACACACTGCCTCATGAAGTGTTGGTATTCATGACTGAAATTTGTTAGTAGAATTTTCGCAGGCTCTTGTGTAGTTTTACGAGACCACAGGTGACGCATACTTGACGAGACAAGAACACGGACACATTGCCTTCCACAACTCCGAGAGCCGTTCTGTTGATGTCACTCAGCACATTAACCAGAACAATGGAACGGGGTGGTACTGTCACTGAATTGTCGGATACATGCAACGCCATCATACAGGATTCGCAATCCTGAGAATGTGCGTTATGTGAGAACGTCACCAGCAATTCACGGAGATTTATAATAGCCCCATATTCTCAAAGGAAGTCTAATCCCAAGATGACCTGCTTGGAGCATTCCCGCAGTACGACAAAAGTCCCGATGAAGGTCGAAGCGCCAATATTTACTCGGGCAGTGCACCTCTCAACCGGCGTCACTAGTTGGCTACCCGCGGTACAGAGCTGCGGACCGTTCCATGGCGTCACCACTTCTCGGAGAGCAGCCGCGAAATCACCACTCATAACGAGATAATTGGTGCCGGTATCCACGAGTGCGGTGGCCAAGTGATTGTCGACGATTATAGAAATATTGGCGGACATTGCTGCATCGCGTTCAGAAAATTTCATGACAGAGAAATCAGTGTCGTCAACGTGTCGTGGCGGAGGATGTTAGTCTGTTCGGTCAACAGCAGCCCCACCCCTGGAGGCCGCTAGCCTCAGTTTTCCTGGCGTGGGCCAGGACTTGGGGACTTGTTTCGTACACCAGAGAACATGGCGTAACGACCAGGCAAGCCGAGGCGCCGAAGAGAAGGTGAGCACGGTTTGTGACTTTGTGCAGGAGGGAACGGCTGCTGCGCCTCTAAATATTGCTGAATCTCTCGAGGACGCTCCCCGTTGCTGGGTCGATGCGCGTTAGAGTGAAATCCTTGAAGGCCCATCATGCGATACGCACACTGGCGGTACAGATGGCCGGCTTTGCTGCAGTGGTAGCAAAAGGGCCTGTTGTCAGAGGTGCGCCATACGTCAGATTTACGGGTGACTTCGCGCGGAACGTCATACTGGAAAGTCCTCTTCGGCGTAAGACAGAGCAGGAGCTTCTGCACGCGTTGGGAGCAATAGTTTCACATTCCTGAGTTCATGGCGACTAATGTCACCCGGAATCGTTGCACTTGGGTGAGTAGAAGTGGGATGAACTTTTTTGAGCTCCTCGTGGACCACGCTCCACACACGCTCGCGGAGTGCTGATAAGTTCTGCCCACAGTTGAAAGGTGACACCGCGGCAACAGAAGCTTGGCGGTCGTACTGCAGAGAGTTGCTGAAGTGCTCGTTCCATGGTAATAGCTTCAGCAATTAACTCATCGACAGTGGTTGGGGGCTTGCGTATGAGTCCAGCAAAAAGCTGACACTTGACACCCCGCAAGAGGAGTCTCATCCATCCCTGTCAGCGCACTTAAACAAGCGTGACATGTCTTTGACAAACACAGCCACGTTTTCATTTGGATTCTGCACCCGGCTCTACAGAGCCTGCTCGGCTTTTTTTTTTTTTCTCCTTTCGGGATTTCTGAATACCTGGCATAGCTGTCGCTGAAATTCTTGCCAGTTGGTGATAGACGGCCCATGGTTCGCATACCAAATGCAAGCATGGTCTTCAAGTGCGAAATAGACGTAGCGAAGCTTCTTGGTTTCATTCCATTCGTTGGCGGATGCGACCCGATCAAAGTGGTCTAGCCAGTCATCTACGTCCTCGAACACATCACCATGAAACGGCTTCGGGGTGCATGCTGTGTAGACGATGCTTGGGGTGGATGTGAGTTGGTCTACGTTGCTCTCTTGTGTCTGACTTGCCGTTGTGGTGGTCATTCTTGCCGAACTCAAGGAACCAAATTCAGGAGGTAGTCCTAGCAAGCGGCTTAGGCGAAGTGCCAGGTTTTCCTCCGGAATTGTTGAAATGGTGGCAGAAGTTTGAGGCAGCAAGAGTTCAAACTAGCGAATTGGGATTGTACCCAGGAGCTCCACCAGTTTGTCACGGTAATCAAATCAGTGCAAGTAACAGTGTAGCAAACATCGGAACAGCTTCGATCGAGCAGCAAGTTCGTCGTGATCGTTCTCCAGCCGAAATTTTTCGGCACGCACAAGTAATGATGAAATTAGCCACGCAACAGCCAGAAACCTACTACATGCTTGTGTCAATATTATGAACTGCAAAATTCGTGTATAAGTCATCTAATTTTTAGTGCAATCTAAGTAAAACAGTGCAATCTAAGTGCAATCTAAGTTATACACGACATTAAAGTTCTTGGTGCCCATACAATACATGTCCTGTGGAAAAGCAGCTGCAACAAATTCCATGACGAATGATTTATCAGAGATGGAGGATATTTGATATTCATGAAACTTGCGGCAGTCTGCACAACAAGTTTTAAGACCTCGAATGTTACATTGAGGCCGGAAAGATGCTAACATTACATCGATAAGGAAGACTCAAAGGACTTGCAGACTACCTTACTTTCAATGTTATACAAAATTACATATAGGTAATTTCAAATAGTATGACACGATGGATCACAGCCATGTGGTCAATCAGGTAATCGAGAAATCTGCTGAAAAACCCTTCTGCATGGCTCTCATAGGCTTCAGAGGCATCTGACTCTGCAGTATTGGAAGCAGCATGTTTCCAAGAATTACTTGAAACATGTAGAGAGTACTAGGCATGTGTGAATAGTAAATTGTAGATTCAACGTGGATCGCATTTTGTCAAATAATTTTGAATCAAATTTAAGTAATGTAATAGTATGACATGATATGAGACATAATATTAGGAAAAGTGAGCATACTTGTTATGACCCAACTAATGTGCACAATGTTTTTTTTATTGACACAAGGCATGATTATAAACGCTTGCTGGTTCAAAGAAAGTGGAAGCTACTTCGAATAGTCGCAGCACTTTCGGTGAATGCAAATGGTAACCTGTGACGGATGTTATGTATTCAAATTTAGTGCACTTATGGCATCTAAGCCGGTTTAACAAGCTTTTAAACTTAAAAAAAACAAACTAATTAATGTAAGGTGACCATAATCTTGAAGTAGGGACGCTTCGCGGCAGTGCAGATTTTTTTTGTAAAGGTGTACTCACGGTATAACACCTCTGTACTGCAGTGAAGCCATCTTTACGGGGAGGTTACATGCGAAGTTGCATTATGGCTTCCGAAATGGGAGGCGCGTGGCGGGTTTCTGTTCTGTCGTCCCAATCGCATGGAGAGAGCGTGTTTCCAGAGGTGGGTGTGGCCCGCTCTTTATATTCTGAAGCAGCTTTTTGACTAGCCTGTGAATGCTATCCCTCCCTATGAACTGCTATCCCTCCCTATGAACGGGCCGCAGGTGTTGGTACGGTGCGAAGCCTTGATGTCACTCTCCCTTGCCTGCTGAACGCTCGCAACGGCGCTGAAAGCTGCTGCCTCATCCGTTCGCAGGCAACACCTGCCGCGACCGCCGCTCGCTACACCTCCGACTCTTCGGTTCACGCGCACTAAACCCGACGTGCGCCTGATGTACGTGTTGAAACATGTCTGTACGTGTCACCTACAAGACCTACGCCAGTCGTCGCTTCAAATGAATCTTTCAGTGCTCAACGCAGCACCCGCGTCAGCGCCGTTCAACACGTGACGCCACCCATGCACAACGCTGCTGCCCATCAGGGTTCCCTTCTGGAAGGAGGCCTCTGACTGTGTTTTGTACCAAATCACACATAGCTCTCATTATTGCGCTGCTCTACAGAAGGATCTCGACAGAGTTTTTGAATGGTGTAAGAAGTGTGTGTGTTTTTGTTTTACTTTGTAGTGTCATTACTTTGCAGTGTCATTTTGCATTTCTCTGCACGGCGGCGCTCCTTTGTATAGTCGAAAAGGCTGCCACGCTGTTGGCGAAGCAGGTGGCGAGAAAAAAATGGGTTCGCGCTTTTTTATATAACTCCGCACTCATTTGGGAATGTTGGGCCAAGGTGCATGAAAATCAAAGTCAATGCTTGCTCAAAGAGGCTTTTTTTTTGCTGTAAATTTGAACCGCCCATATGGGCGCACTTATAATTGCGATGCCTCTGCATGAGATCAGGATATGCTGGAAACTTACTGTACTTCGAAGTTTCTAGGCTGTATAGTATGAAGAGCACTGGCGAAAAAAAAAAGAATAACAACCCGAAACAAGCAAAGTCAGCAGAGTGCCGCGTTCTACGCTCACGGGTTACAATCGAACAAAAGGGTTTCTTTTTTCTTTCATAGAACTAGCGCTGCTTTTAATTTTAATGCCGTTTCAAGAATTCTCTCGGCGAGCCAAAGAAGCAGGATACAGGAAAAAAGGTGCAGGCGGTCGCCATGCGTCTAGACTATGTCTAGACAATGCGGTCCTTGCCGGTTCTGCGATGACCTTGAGCTGGTCACTTATGGTCACCCATCTGCACTGAGAATTTTACGGTGTCCAGTGGATACGTTGGGCAATGTAAGAATGAACATCGAAATGCTTTGCTTGTTCAAGAAGTATGCAACATGCGTTCAGAGTTTGATGAACCTGGTATGAAACACTCCGTTGTTACATAGCAGTGACAATTTGCACTTTTTCTTCTTTTTTGAGTAGACTACCATGGCGAATACTTAGTTTTTATCAGAAAAACACCGTTATGCTACATGTGCGACCCTTCGATTTGGATGCAGTCGAGAGTACAGTAAATGAACACAACACTGATATTGCCATTGTGCTACTGAAACAATCAAAATTCAGATGACTAAAAAAGAGACGGTGACAACTCAGGCACTTTCACTGTGAAAGCCATGGGGAGTAAATGTAGGTCGGCTAATCGAAGCCTTATACGATATTCCGGCAAAATTACTTTACACGAACCTCACTTCAATGACTTGACTAGGTTAACCAGTTATATAGAGCATAACTGCCTCGATTGACCACCTCATAAATATCCGTACGTGATATAATAGTAAAATTACGAGTGAAGATAGCAGAGCAATATGATTAAACGATGATACTTAGCCCAGTTTTCCCCCATACAAGTCTCCAGAAAAGAGGAATGCTAGAATGCCTCTATATTTCTCAAATTGAAGTATTTAGCACCGAGACAAAATTAGTCGTATTGAAAAAAAGTAATACTGCCACAGACTAATTGATACCGCCTTACAATTACCTATGAGGAAAATGCACTAGTTGCCACGCTTTTCTTCGTAAATTGGACCAAAATAAATGCAGTGACAGAAAAAAAAGTCTCACTTTAGCGAGAAGATTCTAACAATGATTCTTGCTCGTGCGCGGAAGAAAACAAACCATGCACACATTGGACACCCATGCTCTCTGCTGTCTGTCGCGGTCTCCGCTGCCGAAATATGCGCCCTCTCACAATAGCCGGGTGCGTGAGAATGTACTCGTTCATTTTGCTGGGCAGCACGGCGATTGGGACGGCCGGAGAAAAACGCGCCACACACCCGCCGTCTCGGAGGCCATGGTTGTACACATCTGTTTGTTGATTTCGAATACTTTGAAATTTCCAATAATCTAAATTTGAATCAAGGCGAATTCGAATACTGTTATATTTCTTCTAATATTTAAGCTGCTAGAATATTTGTACAAACCTAAACAACAGTCGTGCTTATCATGTTTCTATCCATTTACAATTCTAAATAGTTTGAGTTGTTTTGTAAGCAAACGAGTGGCAGTTAAAACTTTAACAGTACTTACATCACTGAGACAGTACAAAATGCTGACATTCCAGAAGCGTTTCAGTTCATCCAGCTCATCCTTCAAGTATATGTCCCTGTACTTTGCCATCCCAAAAAGCAAGTGAACCATGGTGTAGTCGTCGTCCATACTTGTAATGTGCCGCAACACTTGCACCATGGGGGCAATGCCAGTGCCAGCAGCCAGCATCAGCATGTGCTTGTGCTGAAATCGCAAATATCACTTTTGATTGGTCCTTCTATGAGCACATAGTCAGATGAGTAAAGATGAAAGCACATGCAAGTTTTCAGTTTAATTTTGTCATTTGACTTTGAGCCAATCGTTACAAGGCAGTTTGCCGTCTGAGTAAATTGAGTAGTCGTGTGCGATATCTAGAATCACCAGGCACGTAGACTAGACTATAATGTTTAGAGGGCATAGTGAAGCCTGGTGTAATGCTAAAAGTTGCATTTGAGCATAGTGGTCTGTTTCATTGAGAAGGGGTGCATGGTAGATAGTAGCGTGCTGATGGGCATTGCATGAGTAGAGGTCTGTACATTCCGAAGGGGCCAAGTAATGCTTGACAATAAGATCTAGCGTTATAGAGGCGAATGTGTAATATTAATTATTCCAGTGTAAGAGCGAATAGCCAACATTATCCCCATCAGCCAGCAGTAGCTATGTTTGTGTATGCAACTTGTTTAGACTAGTAGGGTCAACCGTTGGCCAAAGGGAGCGAGACACATGCTCATTGAATGATTTGAACTTTCTGCACAGTCGCCTGACTTAGCCTCAATGCCCTGCGTGCCACAGCCAATCACTTTGATGTTTGATGGGCAGTTCAACGAGTCGTGTTCTAGAACCAATGTCAAAAGTATTACTTTTATTTTTTCGAAATGAATGCAGCCAGAAATTCATTGCACATTCATTTAGAGCCAATGATTACATCCTTTTTATGTCAAAACAAAACAGTTGACTGCTGGATAACTAGGCACTTAATTACTTGTTCATTGTAATTAATAAAACTGATACAAAACAACACGTTACAAAACTTTCTTTGTTGGAATGTAATACTGAGCAACTTAAAATTATGCTACTTTGTGAATTGGACACTTCTATAAACAGTGCACCATTATTTGCACCTGAAGGGTTTATGCGATGCCAGCTGACATTGAACCGATTCTCTGCCTGAGAAGTCTTCGTTTACAAGTGAGGGGCATTACATAGCAAATATTCTTTTCCCTCAGCTCCATTACCATGTTAGGCTTGTAGTCTAGCCTTCCCAGTGGACCTCTCCACTCCACAGAACATCCTTCCTTCAGTGTCCTGATGTACTTCGACATCTTTCCTGTGGGATAGACCTGCATATTGTACAGTAGTGTTCAGAGTGTAACAAGTTGCGAAAGGAAAATGCTGAAATGTCTTCTCATTTAAGAATGCTCTTGCAAGACACATTTAAAAAAAAAAAAGATTTTACCAGTAGCATACCTTGACCTGCAGTGTGCTTAGATTTAACTCATTTGCTACAACGAGAAAATGGCTATTTTTCATATGTGTCAAAAACAAAGTTATTGCCAGGTAGCGAAGTACTCTATTATGCATTGCAGTGTACCATATGTTCTTCCTGAAAAGTACGAGTTGTAGCGCAACAAAACTATTGTGGAATGTATAAGAATTTAAAGAGTGTGTAGTTTTGGTTGCTAGCTAATTAAAAAACATGATATAAAGCAAAACCAATTAAAACGAAGAAAATTCAGAATAAACATTTTGAAGGTAAGTGACCCAGGAATAGCACGAAAAATAATAAATGTTCTACGTGATGTTCCTGACAGAGATGAAAGAAATCTGAGCCAAGGTATTGCTTATGCTATGCGGTCAAGTATTTCTTGTTTTTTCGTGAGACACAGGTGAACTGGTGTACTTTCCACATAAAATTTTTGTTTTGTTTTTTTAAGGGCGAAGCTCCTTAAGGCGCGGATCTGTTCATCCCTTGGTTATATGTAGGAGTACGTAGCCACCATGGCACGTGCCCGCACTAGAGCAGGTATGTGCCGCAGGGGATGTGAGATTTAAAATGTAGGTACTTAGAGTGTTCGCTAGATGGATGGACGGACAGAGAGACTGGCAGACTGACGGACAGATGGACGCACGAACAGATAGACAGACAGATGGATGGACGGACTCACGGACGAACACATGGACGGACGGATAGTTGCGCGGATGAACGGAAGCAGAGATGGGCTGACGGACGCTTCGCCCCACTCATAATGATTCACTCTGTGGAAATGCTGTGATTTCTTACCAGAAGAGCCTGCTGTGTTGTTCTAGTAAAGATAGACACGTATGCGATGTGAATACACTATGGTTAGGCATTGATTTATCACATTAAAAAAATTTTTAGGTGTTTTTAAACCCTATTGCACGCAATGAACAGAAATCAGAGGTGTAAAGTCCGCAAGTTTATTGGCTGTTTACTGCTGATCGAACATATCAAAGAAATCGTAAATTGCCAACTGCTTCTTTGCTCTATGTGTCTTCAGCACAAAATTCTCTACACCAGTTGAGAAGCATCATGGTTTACCATGCATGTGCTTCGTTTCAAACATTTCTATACTGGCAAAGCCTCTTTTCTTGAAGGCCTCAGGCGCTTGTTTTTCATTTTTAGACGGTTGGGATTGTAAAGCACGCAAATTTTTAAATACGGTAGTAGTGAAAAACCAGGATATATTTTCTGGCATCAAGCTACAAAAAGTATGAATTAACAGAATGTTTAAGTTTGATTAAAAGGCTTCTAAGAAATACATTGAAAAAATAGATGACCAACCAAAAATTGGATTTTGTTTTAATTAACCAAGAGTATGAATTAGAGTTTGAATTATCTTGAGTCTACTGTAGATCAGATGTTCAGTGAACCTCACTAGTTCATGTGGCATCACCTCTTTTTGTGAGCCACCTCACCTCGCCTAGGTTTATGTTTGAATTTGAAAGTATGCATCCAAACATATTACTGAAAATAGTATTGGAAAAAAAAAACAATGAAGTCATGTGCAGACCTAAAACATCTCGCGCCACTGCGTAGTGCGGGACCGAGATGTGCTCCAGTGGCGCTATTGTCATAAGGAGTTCCGCAGCTGGCATCTGCACATCGTGCCTCAGCACCGTATGGACCTCGCACGTAACCAGAATAGCTCTAAGATCGCACACAAGGGTCAGCAACTATGCATGTGCGATGGAGGGGACCACCAGAGGTCGTACACAAAACCAACCCCTGAACGACTGCGGATGTCCTAGACTGCCGCAAAACATCGTCACCATCATAGCTTGATGCTGAGGTACTATGACCTTCGGACCCGAAGCTCTATTCAGGTGCAGTTGCAAGATAGTTTCGTGCAGCACGCATTTTTCGCACCGTGGGTGTGCACCCATGTGCACATGATGACGCTATAGCAGCACCTAGCGACACTGAATGCAGTCTTGTGTCTGATGTAACTACAGAACCAAAACTGAAGCTGCTGAAAACGGTCTGAAAGACCGCTTTTATATGTTATACATGCAACGGACCTTGGAAAATAATTTTGGTAGAATAAGTTTTCTCAGACTCCAAACTACAACTCTCTAGTAAACAGCTGGCATAAATTGCAGGCAATTGTTACGGCTGAATACTGTCAGATTGTGAAGCTGATTACATAATTTGATATTTAACTTGCTGAGGTTCTTTTGATCACAGAATTTTGATGTTACAGCTGCACAAACACAAGCGGCATGCATTTCTCTCAAGTTCGTCAGCCAAGTGCATTTGCCAATCACACACACACACATTCATTCATGAAAAGGTCTGTCAAACTTCAGCATGTTGCTGAATCGGGCAAATTCAAACTGATTCTCGAACCAACAACTAAGAAGTGCTACATGCACGAAAATTGAACTCAAAAAACCAAACACGATGATTCAAAGCGTCGATCACAAGTGATCGATTTGAATAGGTGTGGTAAGAGTTTGAGGAGCGTTGACGCGAATTTTAATGTTCTTGGAGTGCTGCTCTAAATAAAAACATGGAAGTTGTAAACACTGAAAAGAGTGTTGTTATGCTTGAAAATGGATTAAATATATTTTTAATACTGCTGCTTTAAAACACCAATTTCGGTTTTGGTACCGAGGGGGCAGTTTAGCAGTGACATGTCAACACAAATCAAATGTCCCAGGAAGACTGCAGCTCGTGATGTACTAGCAACAATTCTCAGTTTGCTGTCAGTCGCACGTGGTTCACGTAAACAACAACGAGAGAATTCTCATCCAGAGGTCCTTACAGCGATTTCTGCTATTTAGGCTACATGGAGTGCACAGATTTCCAAATCCAAGTGCACTGTGTTGACTTGTCATGATAATATGCATAACAGTGGGGCTGGCTTGCAAATGCTAGGCAACAAAAACTTTAAAGTCAAAGTAAACTACTTTATAGGTGTTGTATAACTTGAGTGTTTGGAGAGTGTTGATAGTGCACACCATAGAAACGGAAAATTTCCTTTTTGGGGTGCCTCAAAATTTCATCAATGACTCCTTTAGGTGCAAGTTAAAGAATACTGGGTGGTTAAAATTTATAGAGTGCTGCACTACAGCATCTCTCACAATCATATTGTGATATTGGTATGTAAAAGCACAATAAATATTATAATTATTACCTTGATGATTACTTCAAAGAAGCCAAGGGCACTTGGAAGTGAAACAGGAGTGTACTGACGCGTCACGATTTCACCATCGACAGAAGCTCTGCAAGAGTGCACCCACAAATTACCAATAGAAACCATACACATACAAAACTTCCATAACTAATTCTGCTTATTTTATGATGGGCTGCGCAACACGGACAAAATAGAAGCAGACACTATTGGTGAAAGCTCACAACTGTTTTATTGCAAACTACCAAATGCACTTTTGTCTTCAAGAAACACAGATGCCATCGGCCGGTAAACTCGAATACCTACAAAGTAAAACTGAATTTATTCAGCAACACTATGTCATCAAAAATGTAAAGTATGCTTTTTTCCTGTTATTTACATAGGGTAGCAGAATATGTTTGTTTAGTTTTATCTCGTAGGAATTTCAAGACTACCAGCGGGCAACCTCTGTGTTTCTCGAACACAAATGTGCATTTCATTGTTTCCAATAAAAAAATCCCTCCATATCCATGAAGTGAATGATGATGAGTGGGTGAAGCTCTAGGGGTAAATCTGGTAAACCGTGAATTCTCCATACATTTTGCCCACTCGATCATAAAAGGCATGACACAAAAACGGTGGTGATGAGCAGTATATACTCTGTTTATTATTCATATATGAGTGATCATGTTTGTTCAAGAGCTCTTTTGTTTTATAGAGGAGAAAGTGGGGTGGGTTCCCTTGATATTGTTTTAGTCATATATGACTTTAAGCTCAGGGGTATTTTTCCCTTTGAGTGTAACGGCCTTGTGGTCTGTAAAGTAAAAAGCCAAGGGATTTTAATTGTGATGCCTCAAACTACATCCAATTGTCGCGGTACAACGCGACAATTGGATGTAGTTTGAAAAGGCAATGTTGATATAAGTTCCCCTGATAGTGGTGGGACGTTTCTAGTCATGTGAAATGCACCAGAGCACGTAAGGAGATGCCATGTATTGAACTAGCCAGTCGTCGTTCTTGATGTCCATGTTAATCTCAGGCTAGTACAAAGGCCTTGTCTTCTTCATTGTTTGGAGTATTAGTAGTAGTAGTGCACAGTGTGACGACCGTCCATCCACGAAGTGAATAATGATAAGTGGTCCAAGCAGTGAGATCGTCATCGTGTATAGTGGGTACTTTGCATGTGCTCGGCTACGATGAACGCCATCGCCGCCAATGGACAAGCCTCGACCTTAAGGAACTTCGCCCCTAAAATTGTGAGTTTGTGCTCGTGGTTCCTACTTCTATCTTGTCCATGTGTATGTTGTGCAGCCACTCATGAATCAATCAATACTAACTCACCCAATCGTCTACGTGTGCTATTCACCAAATGCTGCGTGTCCTATTCAAAAAATGCCAGGCCTGAGCCTGAGCCACAGTACAGTCATAGCGAAAGCTAGAAGAGCGGCCTTTCAAAGCCGTTTCTGTACACTCATTGGGTAATTACTGCAAACACACTTGCTTGATACCCACAACGGCATTATTAATAAAAAAAATTTGGTAGAAGGCCGGCATTCGCTATGCTATTTTTCGTCATTCTTCTCAGAAGTGTGGTATCCGCTAAACAGTTGCGAAGAATTGTGCCAATTGTTCATGCAGTGGCTGACTATGAGGAAGTGGGTATGCACCGCAGTTAATAGGTGAACAGGAAGAAGCTTTTGCAATGGGTTGGAGCATTAGACGACCCACTTGTTACGCTATTCGCATTGTGCGACAACTGGTTCTTTTTTCGCTGTTTTAAAATGCTTTCTAAGTCGTATTAACGCGATTGCTTTCCCGACATCAAGCCTGCCTAAGGCAAGTTTGCCAACAAGTCCCAAGCACCGGCATGGTTCAGCAGCCGAATACTGGGCTGGCACCTAGCTGACCAGGGTTTGAGCCCCACTGTGTGATTGGTACGTTTTTTTTCCTATTTCATGCGACAGTGATTATGGACACCAACGGCGGAAGCGGCGGACAACTACAATGGCGCGTGACCCGAGTTGTCATCTCATAACAGCTTTCACTGTAATAATGTACCTCATTATAAGATGCTGTCCAATGCCGTATCCAATGCTTCCGAAGTCATTGATTGCAAAGGTGTATTTCGAGCAGCATTCAGTCATTTTCCTGATCTTCTGAAGCACGAATAATTTGTAGTGGTCAGGGCTTATGACTGAACCCTGTTGCTGTAGGAGAAAAAACAAAATCAAAGAACTACATGTACATAGTCTGCACTGTAAAAAAGGGTGTTTCTGTTCTGATACTTTGTGACACTGGAGTCATGAACCTGAACAGGTGAACATGAGCTGCATGCTGTTCTTCAAGTTCAGCTTATTATAAAATGAAAACAACAGTATTCTGTCAGAATTGTGAACCGGGCGGAATACTCAAGCTGAGAGTTGTAAACTGAGAAAGCCACAAGCAAAAAAAAGTGTGTGTGTGTGTGTGTGTGTTGTATGAAGTCATAATAGGAGATACCGAGGACGAAGAAGTGAGAATGGAATAGACATGGCAACAGTGCCAGGCCACATCTCCCACATTTTGTATCGTACATACTTCTCTTCATCTATTGTACTGGACCCATCGATTTGAATTCCCAAAGTACATACATACATATATATATATATATATACACACACACACACATACACATACACACACACACACACACTTTTCTTCATTTGATAATAATTGAAAAGTGAATCGCGAATGCTCAATATAGCTTTTGTAAAAACAGAACCGCTGAATCGCTTTTTGTTATAAGAGAGAATGTATCTTCCACAACTCTGAAGATGAATTAAGTAATATTTAGCGCAATGAATATTTAGCTTGCGAGTATTACCACTGTATATATTTGCCCTTTGGTTGCAATAAATCATTTTGTTGAAAGTGTATAAAGTTATAAATATGACCTTTTAGCAATAGTTTCACCTGTTTATTTTAATCTACTGAATGAATATGAAATTAAAGGCCTTTTACTCACTTCTAAATAACTATTTTAATAGCATTCTGTTTTTATTCTTCAGGCAGTATTGCATAACTATTTAAGGCAATATTGTTGTGTATTGCCAGACAGCATTCTGCGCCTGTCTATGAGAAGGTGATACTTGCAATTTACTTGGTTGAAAGGAGTGTGTTCATTGAGTCGTATTACCGGGCTAATTTAATTCATAGATTTTCATAAATTTAACTAGAGGGGACTCTGGCACTGTGATAGTTCAGCTATCGTGGGAATGATGAGTAGTATGCAAGTTTGCTGTCTTGATGCCTCAGAGACAGTTGTGGCTTTGTTTACTGTTGTTTCAGTTTTGTTTCGAATAGAAGAATGGACTGTTGTGAATTTTGCAACCCGGTTTGAATTGGTGACGCTAAGGTGGTGAAGAGCGACTGCTCACAGTTCGCCTATTGTTGGCTCCTGAGAAAGCAGCTCCAGGCAAGGCGTTGCCAAATGAAACCAAAAGAACCAATTTGTGTACAGCCCATCATTCCCATGCTGGCTAAAGCGTCATGCATTACAGCTCCCAGCGCTCTCTAGTGTATTTATATGAAACGCTTATGAATTAATTACCACAGTGAATAAAACTCTTGCATTTTTGCTTGCAGCTGTTCACAGAAAAGATACTCGAGCAGAATGGGCTAATTTTCAAGCAGAACAATTCTTTCAAATTACACCTGAACAGGAATGTGCTGATTGGTGGGACGACCTGTGCCGTTGTCCTCTTGCTATGCCTTCCCAAGTCTTAATAGTGCCAGTAGTGCATGTCACATGTACCAAAGGACCAGCTGCACTCTAAAAACTTTGTTAATCCTTTTACTACTGTAAGAAATGAGGAAAAATGTGCCCAAATACCGAAAATTTTCTTTTTGGCTCAATTTCTAGAGCGCGTTTTTTTTTTCCAGAATAAAACAGTACCATTTTTTCAATTCATTGGGGTTTATTTATTTCTGTAGCCATGTAAAAAGAAGATAGCTCTAAAGTGGCTTCACTACATGGCTAGACAATAAAAGATAGCCATAAAATGAAAGCCAAGACACAAATGGCCCGAAATGAACAAGTGTAGCCGTCAAGGAACGTATAGGGCACGTTGTTAGTAGTGATTGTAGAGTAAATGTGAAGAACGAAAAGCGAACAGAAATAAAACTGGCCCATGGCAATGTCTGCACCTGTGGCCTTCAACTAAAGTGCGCGATGCTCTAACAACAAAGCTACAGCGCCGGTCATTCTTCTGTGTACCTTATGGAATATAGATAAAAATTTAAACCTGGGAGCTTGTAAAAAGATTATGTATTCCGTGACGCCAGCAGGCAGAACAAAAAGTGTTCTATTCCACACTCGCCATCATGGCTACATGGCGTCAATGCTGCCAGGTTTAAGCGCACATTACCATTGCTGCGGAGCTGCCACTCCTGAATTCGAATTGGATGCACAGGCATACAAAGAATTTTCTCACCCCAACCATGCTTGCAAGGCGAGCTTAACAAGTGTGGGTGCAGAAGAGGAGCGCGGCCCAGTGTATTCTAGCTAAGAAAGGCACAAGGTGTCCGAGCGATGCACTGTTCCAACCCAATACCAGGAGATCTCTCCATTTTCACAACTGCTCCACAATCCAGATGCATGGCAAAACTGCTTAGTCTTATTTTGAACACTAGTTTCTTTCTGGCATAAAAATATGCTATGTTATCATTTTAGCGTTAACACATTTAGCTGTAAACAATATTAAGGAACAGCACCATTCGTTCAAACATGTTGATCATGCAAATACCATAGATAGCGAGAGAACTGCCCCTACGAAAATTAGGTGGATGATTGTGCAGCATGAGATATGTCACCAAGCTATTATTTCTCGACCTTGGTAACTAGTCTTGCATACTTTTGCAGTTCTTAATGTATCTTATTACACCAGCTTGATGGGGTGTTCATTCTTTACTCAATAAAGCTATCAAGATGCCTTTCCTACGCTGAAAAATTACAGGAATAGAATTGAACTGCCTGACCATTCCCGGATTGAGAATGACCAACGTGTTTCCATTCTGAGAGAGATTGAAAGAAATGGAATAACGGCAAGTTCTCCGGAATGGAATAATAATGCAATGAAGGCACCTATTCCGCAACACTGATATATACCCTATGAAGAGGCCGGGGAAATTACCCCTCCCAGTAGCTCGGTTGGTAAAGCGTCGGACGTGTTATTTGAAGGTTCGAACCTCAGTCAGCGGCAGGTTACCTTTTAGTCCACTCTATCTTATTAACATTTACATTAAATTTTTTTTACAGGTAACATCCCCTATGCTTTCTTGTTTGTTGGTTCTAATTAATGTTGTGTCTAACAAACAACAACAAAAAAACGAGGTCCTAAAATTTCTTTTCTTTCGTTATTGCCATCTTGTCATTTATGTCACGCATGCATAAGTCAAGCCATGACATATCATTAGAGACCGGATTATAGGCAAATGCCTATTTTGTTCCTTGCATTCCTATCGTGTCATTTTGATATATGAGCATGAACTAGAAGTTAAAAACGGTTTTTATGGTGTTTTTATAGTGCCTATAAATGCCTATTTTGGGTGTTCGTGCCTAAATGCCTATAAGTGTCTATAAATGCCTATTTCCCAAAGGAGTGCATATGTGAGCGCTATTCAAGCCCAAATTGTTTTCGAGCATGGTGTGAAGCCGTTATTTATGTAAAGAAGGCAACATTGATATTTCCAAACACTATAAGGTTCAACGAAGATAAAGCTGACATGCTGCGAGCGATTGGAGGAGGAGCATAACGAGTGAAAAAGACGCGATTTCTGCAGCCCCAAGTGGAAGCACGTCTCAGCGTCTGCAGGGGTAGGAGTAGGGAGAATTAAAGATGGAGTAAGAAACTAAAGGTGACGTCTATGGTTGAGGACGCGGTGACCGCCTTCTATAGGCCGCTGTCAAGCACCCTTAAGGAACTGAAGAGCCACCCTGAAAACCTAGTGTTGCGGTGGGAAAGGAAAAGCAGGTTTTTCTGGGCAGCCACGGGTAGCTGTAGAACGAATGAAAAACCTTGGAGGGCCACTCATGGAATGCTCTTGTTGATTCAGTTGTGCCGAAGGTCGCCAAATCGTTATATTTTATACAGAGAAGCCTGAGACAGGCGCCGGCATGTTCACAATCAACGGTGCATTTAGCATACATTCTCCGTATGCTTGAATACGCTTGTTCCATATGAGATCCCTCGTCATATGTCTTTAAGTGACAAACATGAAAAAATACACAGAACAGGGCTTCAAGGTTTGTTCTAGGCCATTACTCAAAAATGATAGCTGTAACAATATGAAAAATGAACTAGGATGGGAATTACCATCATCACGTCGAATTAAACTGCGGTAAAAGCTCCTATGTCAAGCATTTCATGGTAAAACTCGCATTAGATAATGAATGTACCTAGACAGTCCTCTTCGCGCAATGGTATAATTAAGATTTTGGAATGTCATATCAGATATAATATTTCTATTAAAATTAGTTTTTGTTAGTTTCATGACAATGAAATGGCTTATAAAGAGAACAAAGTGTGTTGTGCCAATAAAGGCATGTTTTCTTTGACAATGTAACCCATCTGCTACAGCGCCTTCGGGTAAAAAATGTGATGTGCACGTAGCATTTGTTTTGTTTGTAATTTACTTTTTAAGCAACACTCTCTAGGTGACATAACAAGTTGTACTTAGACGCTAGAAGTTCTTGCATGCCTAACGAAAAGCATTCTAACACGGTGATTTTTCAAATTGGCTCGCTAGCAGCCACCAAAGCATGATGCGAAGAAGCAAGCTTGAATCCTTTGTCTCTCGTCCCATGTAGCCATCCTGAGCCTTATTCCTTCCCTTTATCCTTTAGTATCAGGGCTGGAGAATCACACGACGAATACGCACCAAGAACAACATGTGTAAGCAAGGTCATGCACACATGACCTGCCCCAGCCTACTTGTGCACGTACACCATCGATGTTGTGTCGTTTCGATGTTCTCTGTTGTGTACTACCCGTTTCTGTGGGATGGATCAGTCAGTGCGTGTACTTTAGGAGAGGCTAGCAAGGATCATGTATTGTGACCGCTATGCACCATGTCACTCCGCTGAAACTGCCTTCAGAGACGACGCCCAAAACACAAGCTAAGCGTTGTCAGGGTTGTCGAAGGCACGATGCAGGAACGACGAGAAGACGAACGCAAGTGAAATAGGTAGTAGTAGTAGTAGTATTACATATTAGTAGTATTAGTAGTGGTAGTGTGTTTGGTTTTGCATATAAAAACCCCTATATGAACATGAGGGATGCCATAGTTGAGGTCTCTGCAAATTTTCACCGTCTGGTGTTCTTGAAAGTACACTGACATCGCGCAGTGCACGGGCATCCACTTTTTCGCCTCTATCTAGATGTGACCACTGCGACCACAATTGAAGCCGCGGCATTCGGGTCAGCAGCGGAGCACCCTATAGCAACTGGTCCACCGAGGCGGACGCGAAACGAGGGCCGATTAGTGAATAGCACCTCGAGGCTATTCAAAACGAAAATAAAAATAATAACAAGCTGAGATTATGCTTGCATGTTTTATTATTTTTCTTAGCTTTCATTAATTATACTGATTTTGAAAAAGCAGTGCAAAGACACAGGGTAAAAAAAAACAAAGACAAAGAGCGCTGTCTTTCTTTTCCCTTTGTCTTGGCGCTTCCTTTCAAAATAATATGAAGCAGCCAACCCAAATTAAAGTACTCCTCATTCATGCTGCACAACAGAACACACAAATCACACATGCCAACTAGAATAAAGTCACGTGCAACGCTCTTGATCAGGCACCGTTCAAAACGCAGGATAGGTATAACCAGGAGATGGGACATTTTTCATCTGCATATTTAGATATAGCTAGAATTTAACGAAGTTCTGATGAAGAGCGTATGGTATGCGACGTCAGCCCACCAATGTCAACTTAAAGGAGCGGCGTTCTTTGCTGTACGTCACTCCCTAGATCTTGGGGTGCATGCTCGCGAGAAGGGCATGTGGCATTCATTAGAAATTGAGCACATTTCCGCGACATGTAATTTTGCAAATTTTAACAGGAATGATCCGGAGTGCCCAAAGCACCACTACGCTTGTCAGCTCGAAATGCCTAAACCTGGTGAGGGGCCTTTTAAAAAGTTCATCTAAAGGAGAGAAATTGGTCCTACGCAATTGGACCTAGCATCCCTCTCTTCTGGGGTATCAGCGGTCTGGTTATTTGCTCCTGCACTGCCCTTCCCAGCTACAACGAAACGAAAGAGACCCAGGAGAGTGTTAATTGAATGGTAGACACTTGACGCACAATGCTAGACAATAAAACAAAATGCCACATACTGCGAATCACGCGGGAAATGCATGCCCATGTTCAATCATTGGTACCTTTCGGCAGTCTTAAACAATATAATTTTTTTTTTTACTTCTTGCTGTAGATACAAGTCACCGACGTCGCTGTTTTGGGATATTTCAACTTTTGTAGAATTGTTTATTGTGCCTATAATTTTGATTTTGAGGGCCTGAAACGGTGTTTTACCTGCCTGTTTTTGGCGCCTAAAACACTTCTTCAGTGCCTAAAAATCCGGCCTCTACATATCATTTATGACCACAGGTTCTTAACGACCGCTACAACTTGATTCGTTACGCACATACGGTTTGCATGTCGTGATCTGGCCTTCACGTTTGTCACACACGCACGCCATGTGAGAGCACGAACCAATTCACGCCTTCCATATCCGTACTGCAGTTCTCTCTTGCACTCGTTTTCCCAGATAGTCAGTTCCTGTGCGTAAATGTCGTAGACACACACGGCGCAGCCGTCTCCGCAGCATTCGGCAGCCGTCGGCTGTCTGGGCTTCCGCGCCAACATTTCCTCTGATATTGTCGCCTGCGGTAGAGGTTTGTTGTTATTTTCAGCCATACCGTTCTTCTACGCTGCACAAGTGCACACTAAAACATACGCGACAAATGATTGAAATTACAAGCTGCGGATCGGATTGCGTTGGCTAGCGATTCGACCTTTCCCGCCTTCGGCTGCTTTCACCGCCATAGTCACCGCGCGCCGCGAGGGGTTTTGACAGGTGTAAGGTACTGATGTGAAACAAACGGATACTTCTGAGCACTCCGACAATTATGCTTGCAAATTAGACTGTGTTGTTCGTCCCGAATAGCCAGAATTATCACAGAACATGCTGAAGATAAAGGTAAGCGGCAGACAAACCTGCATGCTCTGCTCATGAATGTGATAACACGTGACACACCGGACGTTGCATGCATTTGTCTATGGTGCTTTATGAAGTGATTTTCAGTGACACAGCAGCTTATTTTTAACTTCGTTAAGATGTTTGTGTTCTCATTCACTGATTACAGGGCACGTAATTTACACTTAAAGCATACCGTGTAACTAGCCAAATTTATTAAGGCGACAGAATTAGTTACCTCATTAAAACTGAAAGGGTCCCCTGCGATTAATGGGGGAGCCCGTGAGGATGGATCGAAAAAAAAAAAAGAAGAAAGATTACAGTGACACAGAGGGTTTACTGCCATAATGGAAGATTTCTTTGCGCTTCCTTTGCCAGATAACTGGTGAATGCGTCACGGAATGTGTAGTGTTTTCTAGACATGGGATGCTATCTGGCAGTGAGTTCCAACATCGGACAGCACGTGCTCGGAAGTACTGAGCTACCAAATGCACGTGGTGATCCGTAAATGCGCTAAAAGCTAAAATGATTATCCAGCCTATGTGACGCAGAGTAGGGTCGTGTCAAGCATGCCAGTGTTCGAGATGAGTGAATGAATTCGTGAAACTGTCAGCAAGGCAATGTCACGGTGAGTAAAAGGCTGCAATGAAAAGTGAGTTTAATTCGTGTGACACTAGACTGATATTTGTCATTGTAAGAATGAATGAAGCGGCTTCCCCAATCCTGAACTCGTTCTAATATGTCGATTAGGTATTTTTGGTGAGGGGACCAAATAAGGGAGGCGCACTAGCTCGAGCTGACCATAAACCTGGAGTTTATAAACCATAAACTAGGTGCGGCCTCCATGTGGAGGCCTCACCTATTTTGGCTTCGCGGACCTCATTTTACAGCGAAAGCTGTTATGAGATCACAACTCGGGTCACGCGCAGTTGCATGTTGTCCGCCGCCGCTGGTGTTCGTAATCACATCGCGCAAAACTTGACACAGTGGAACTTGAACCCGGGTCCGCTGGGTGCTAGCCTAATATTCTACCACTGAGTTACGCCAGTGCTTGTAAGTTGTCGTCAAACTTGCCTTAGGCAGGCATGACCTAGCACCAATGGTACAGTGGGGCTCGAACCCGGGTGCGCTGGGTGCCAGTCCAGTATTCTGCCACTGAGCTACTCCGGTGCTTGTGACTTGTCAAACTTGCCTTAGGCAGGCTTGATGTCGAGAAAGCAATCGCATTAATACGACTTATGAAGCGTTTTACAACAGCGAAAGAACAACCAGTCGTCGCACAACGCGATTAGCGTTAACGAGTGGGCCGTCCAATGCTCCAACCCATTACAAAAGCTTGTTCTTTTTTTTTTTTCCCTATTAACTGTGTCGCATACCCACTTAAGCCATAATTCCTCATAGTCGTCAGCCACTGCATGGACAATTGGCACAAAATTTCTAACAAGTGTTTAGCGGATACCACGCTTCTTAGAAGAATGACGAAAAATATCATAGCGAATGCTGACTACCCAAAAGTTTATTAATCCCCTAGTGGGTACCAAGCAAGTGTGCTTGCAGTAGTTACCTAATGAGTGTTTTGAAAAGGCTCTGAAAGGCTGTTCTTCTAGCTTTCGCTGTAACTGTGCTGCGCCTACCGCGCAGCCCTGGCGTTTTTTTTTTTTTTGGTTATATTGTTATTCGTGTCAAGGCTTTAGTGCAGCGTCGGGTTGAACACGCTGCCGGGGCCTCTTGCTTCAGCTTTTGCTCGTTAACACTTTGTGGGGAGTACTTGGGTGGTGTTTTTGAGGGGCGATGCTCCTTACGCTGTGGGTCACACGTCCCGTGCCGTCGTCGCAGTAGCCACCTCTCGTTTAGTCCTTATGAAACGGGGTAACTCAACCTGGAACTCTGCAACAGGAAACTGCCTGCCATCCCAGAAATAGCCGAAGAAAATACCCAGCACCTCTACCACTCTGAAACGGGGTTTATTGACGTAAGTGGTACTTGTACAGCAGGTCTATTGATACGGCAAGCGGGCGGTAGCAATCAACACAGGAATCGCAGCGCTCGGCTCCGCTAAAGGCGTGACCCACTGCGGCACATAATCGTCTTCCTCTCTACACTTAGAATGTCCGCTGGATGGTGGTACTTGTATATGATAAATATATGGTGAAAAGATGCGAGATGGGGGTACTTGGAGTGTTCACTAAATGGACGGACAGACAGATGAATGGGAGCACGGACGGACGGGCGGATGCACGGTGGCTTCACACCACTCATCATCATTCACTTCGTGGATGATTTTTTTTTTCTGTTTCGTACTTCGCGCAGCGTGCACGGCGCCGTAGGGATGATTTAACGCAAAACAAAACTCGAAAACGAGGCAAACGCCATATGAAGCATTGCTTGATCCTCATCACTTGCTAAGCACTGATTCGTTCAAAGTGGCCGCTGGTTAAATAAGTGCGAGGCACTTTTAAAATATTTATCTTCGTATATCCCTTTCAGTCCCGAATTTTCCGTAGGGTACGAAAAAAAATTATGTTCTCTTATAGCTAAAAGGCTTTTGAAAAATCTTGAAAAAAAATTTCGGAGACTAAGTCCACTGGTGTTCACGGTCGAACCATGTCCGGCATACTGGACACTAGGAATCTTTTCTTGCACTTGTGGATACATGCACGTTCTGCTATCTTCTTTGAAAGATTGTCGCTTTTGGTCCTGTCAGGAGGTTAATCGTCTTATAAAACACAAAAGGAGTTTGTTATGATATTAGAAAAATAAGGAAAAATTTTCATGGTTTATAGTCTTACATAGCGCGTTCTACGTTTGGTTGACCATGCATGCGATGTAGTTTCTCGGTCCTTTGCTCTGCTGTGTAGCTCACACATGCTGTGTTTACTGTAAAGGCGAAGGCCTTACATGACCCCCCAAACGTAAAAATTGACTGACTGCGTCCCGCGCCGGAGGCGTCAACATGTGACGCAAAAGGTTATCTGCTCGTGCTCACGACTTATTGATGTCTAAAATTGATTGATTTGTGGGGTTTAACGTCCCAAAACCACCATTTGATTATGATAGACGCCGTAGTGGAGGGCTTTGAAAATTTTGGCCACCTGGGGTTCTTTAACATGCACCCAAATCTGAGTACACGGGCCTACAACATTTACGCTTCCACCGGAAATGCAGCCGCCACAGCCGGGATTTGATCCCGCGGGTCAGCAGCCGAGTACCTTATTAGCCACTAAACAACCATGGCGGGGCATTCATATCGAAAATTAACCTTGCATGCTTTACAGCTTGCGCAAGTTTTGTACAGCATTATGGTGCAACCGCTCTTGCGCTGTCACCCTATCAAACATCTATTGATAACTTAGAAATCTCTGCTGCATGCGACGGATGTGTGCTTTGATTTTTACAAGCTGTGAGGATCTGCATGTTCGGCTATCAGTTCAGTGTCTACGAAAACGGTGAACATTTCACTCATCCGGCTTCTGTATTACCTATTGGTATGGAAATAGGAAAAGGTGGCCGGTATGCGCACCTTCATTAAATGCGTCATTGTTCATTGCAGCTATGCCAATAGGGCTCATGCACAGTCCGATGCAGCTTCAACAGTATCCCGATCGCTGGTGGTTCCCGTCGACGCTTGATAGGCGCGCGCGAGCTCTCCATCTTTTTGCACTATACGCCGTGAGAGCGTGGAAAATCCTCGGCTCGGCAAGATTTTCCGTACGTTGCGCGGTCACTTGACAAACGTCATATGGTCCACGCGAACGATGTCACTCTCATCGAAGTGGTTTTCGCACACGCGCACATTCGGGGAAACACATGTGAAGCCACCAGTTTCTTGTCGCGGCATTGCTCACTTCCACTTTTCTCGCCGATCACTGTAGGCACCGAGAACTCGGAGACTTTTTCGTCATTTTTTTTGTAACCGGATCGACAAGCAGGTACCCAGCAGGTATTATCATTCCCGATCTTGAGGCATATCACACATAGGTACAATTGTAAAATTACAGCGAAAAACTACGCGATGGCACGCCACGATGTTATGCATTCACCCGATTGGCCGCGAGATCGAGCAGAGTCGCCGCCTGGTGCAAACTGGCCGAAGAGGCGAAGTGTGGATTGCTTCGTGCGTCGTCTGCTAGCCACGTCGTGTTTTCTCTGCACCTTCTGCACCTTTTCACGGTGCGCTGCACCTCGATTCCCGTTGGGGGAGGAGCGTTGGGCTAGGAAGGTATTCAGCTACTTGTACATGAAGAATGTCGATACAAAATGGAGGAAGCGAACCAGGAAAATTGACTGGTAAATACTTAGAAAACAACTGGGGGCCAAACCAAAAATAATTATCGGTTAAGAAGAAGGTGAAGGAAGCTGAGACGGAAATGTGGAGAATCGGCATGATTAAGAAGTCCGCACTGAAGATCTATCGAACTTTCAAGCAGGAAATTGCCAAGGAAAGGATCTATAATAATACTCGGGGTAGTTCTCTACTGTTTGAGGCCAGGACGGGAGTATTGCGAACCAAGACATATCGGACCAAATACGAAGGGGTAGACACGGTATGCAGTGCGTGTGGAGAGGAAGAGGAAAGTGCTGAACACTTGATATTGTTCTGTAAAGGGCTTCACTTTGTAGTTGAGGATGATGGCGCAGAGTTTTTCAAAGCACTGGGGTTTAGGGACAGAGAGGGCAAGATAGATTTTAAGCGGGTAGAATTAACTAGAAGGAGGTTATCCGATTGGTGGTTGAAGTCAAGGCACGAGTGAAAATTAAACCCTTCACTGCAAAGTACGAATCCTG